AGTCAGGAAATATGATGCCTTCTACTGATCTCCAAGGGCACCAGGCATGCACCAGATACACAAACATACATTCAGGTAAAACACTCATTGCATAAAACAATCTTTTTAAAAGTTCAAAAAAACTTTTAAATAGCATTTATATTTTGTTTCTGAGGGGAGGAAACACTGACTCACAAAGTCTTATGCAAGATTTTTCAATAATTATTTTAAGGACTGGTCATGAAAAGCCAACATTTTCTGACTGCTTTCCTGAAAACAGATGACTGACTGCTAAATGGCTAAAGGATTTTATGGGGTTTTTGTCCCCTTTTAATGAATGAAGAGGATCACTATTCTTTTATATCTATTTAAATGCAAATAAGCACACAAATCTACTACTAGAAAAATATTTTCTTTCCTCTAGCAAACAAGTAATTTGAAATACACCATTTTATTGTATGTGTAATGGAGGGCTTAATGATCACGGACTTAAAAGCCTCTCATATTTAATATAACTGACACAAAATGAGTTACTACTAGTTAAGATATAAATAATGATTGGTATTTAAAATAAAACAAAAATTTATACTTCATAATAAAAGCTTATAACACTTAAAAACCATTAAACTTACAACATTTTCTAATAAACTTGGGGGGAAAACTCACACAGGAAACTTAAAATTTCTTTGCAAAGCTTTAATGAAACAATTTAATTTCTGTTACAACTCATTAAGTCTTGTATTTCTAGAACTGTTCTAAAACTTATCTCTAAGCAAAACAACCTGTTTTCCAGAAAGTAGACTGTCTTGGCAGTGTTAGTAATACATCAGCATGACAAAAACACAGTCTGTAATCCACATATCATACAAGGAAAGCAAACTGTAACTTGATAGAAAAAGCAAAATCACTGAACTTAAACTTTTAAAGACATTATTTGAAGATGACTCAAAAAAATAGTGAATTACTTAAATATGTAGTAAAATAATATGTTTTAAGTAAATAAATCAATGGTAATCAAACCAAATTACTCAAAAAATTGATCTGAATATTTGTAGTAAAATAATGTTTTAAGTAAATAAATCAATGTTAATCAAACCAAATTACTCAAAAATTGATCTGAATATTTGAAATCGTAACATTTTTAGTAAAGCTATATACTTCTTGTAATATATTTACTTAAAGTTAACATAGCTAAGATTAACTGGAATAGAAAAGATAATTCTAATTTGGACACAACTTTTTCCATTATAAATTCATTCTAGGGAATAATTTTGGAAAGCAAAAGTCCAGTCATTGGGTCTAATACTCTTCAAATATCTTCAGAAAACCAACAAGTTCAATGAAGTACGTTGCTAACAGATGCCAGCTGAGAACTTCGGCTTGTTTCATCTGGTTTTGCAGTTTGGGTTTTTGGGTTTTTTTAGCATTTTGTTGTTGTTGCTCGAAATAAATGGTATTTCCTAAAAGTCTAAACAGTAGAACAAAAATATCTTCAGAAACGCAAAGTCAGTTCTTTGTCTCAGCCAGCAATTTTAAGGTACTGGCGATCCTCGGTGGCATAGATGCGCTGTGTCGCAATCAGATGATCGATGGCTTGAGTGAGGGCTTCCTCAGTAAGTGCATGGAGGTCTCTTCGCAGCTCAGTGATAGCCTTCCCTTCATGATGAGGACATCCTCGAATCAGACGCAGCACCTCCAAATGGATGAAATTAAGACTAGCTGACTTAGCAGCCCTGGCGGCTGCCGCTCGGGCTCGTGCCTCTTCTAAGAGGTGCCTTCCTGTGGTCACGCCTTCACGGCTTTGATCCAACATCATGTGGGCACTGACGACCTCCAAAGTGTGTGTGGACAGCTCATTCATATCTTCTAGGACACGGATGCTCAGAATCCCAAGCCGCCTGGTTCTCTCCGAGGACTGGAGGACACCAAGCACTTTGGCATACACGCCAACTGGCAGGGGAATCACACATTGCCTGACTCTCTCTCTAGACAGGGGCTGTCTGGCCTCGATCGCCTTTGCGGTCATGTCATCGATCTTATACATCAGGTACCGCGAAGCTTTCTTGGCCTCTATGATCATCCCCACGATGGAGACCCGGTGAAGTGCAAACCCCCTGATCTTAAACACATTGTCAACCTCAACGGCAGTAAGCAACTGGCTTATGCAGCAAGGCACAATGCTGTGAATGCCAGGCCTGGTCAAGGTGGTCGGTGGAAGACCCAGGTCCTGACCTCCAGCTTGCTCATCACTGCCACTTGCCCGGTTAGCCCCATCACCACCAGAAAAGCTATCATTGCTCCCAAACCCGCTTTTACTCATCATTTTTTGAGGACTTGGCGAGGTTTGACGGCTCGACAGCAAGGGGTGTTACTTAGCAGGGTGACTTCTCCACAGAGCAGATGGCACCTCCAACTGCTGACTGGAGCTACAGCAGAATGTCAGTGCCCAATGCCACGTCTCACAACCAACCTCACGCTTACTGAGCAGCCAATCAGCTACAAGATGAAGCAGTTGCTACCCTTGCTCTGAAATTCTCGCGAGATTACAAAGCCCTCTTTCCCGCTCTTTTGGTTGCTGTGCAGATTTCTAAAAATGGCAAGTGTGCTAACTATCCAGCAACTGTGATCTGTACACTCGCGAGATTTGAGGCTGGAGGATCTCTGAGAACTTGACACCCATCTAGTTCACACTCTTCCAGGACAGGCTGAGCCAAACTACACAGGGAGAACTTGCTTCAAATTTAAAAAAAAATTAAAAAATGAACAGAAAAAGTTTCTTTAAAAAACAAACCCCCCTCAAGTATGTAATATCAAGCACTGTCTGCTATCTTTTTAACAATGCATTTGAACTAGGAAAAATGTGTACTAGGCTCTCCATTATTGAATGCCACAATTGGGGGGTGGTCCTGTTTTATTTTTATTTATGTTTGTATTGTGTGCATCTGTGCATATGCGCAGATATGTGCCCAAAATACCAGCGGACAATTCGGGTATCGGAGCCCTCAAAGACGGGAATTACTGGTGGGCGTGAGCTGTTCAGCTTCAGTGCTAGGAACCGAAAGAGTGTCCTTTGGAAGAACAGCAAGCTCTCTGAACCAGTAAGCCACAGCTCCAGATGTGAATGCCACGACTTCCATGTTTTGTTTTTTTTTTGCCGTTTTGTTCTTAATGGCTTACTTTAACAAGTTTTATATACTATTGCCCAGACTGCCTTGGAATTTCAGGCAATCTCACAGACTCACACAACCGTGGCTGAAAATACAGACATGTGTCACTATAACCAGTCTATATTCATTTCTTCCATCAGCCGCTCAGTGGAAAATGTTTCTGACTGTAAGTGTTTAAGATGGAAGGGCACCACAGATGATAGTGATATTGGGAATACACTGTGGATTCTATTCTCAGAGAGGTCATATATATGCCTGGATGTGGTGGTTTAGCACTGAGGAGGCCACAGCAGGAGGATTACCTCACATTCAACAACAGACTGAATTTGTTGTTAGTTTCAGGCTAGTCTGGTTTACAAATTGAGACGGTACAAAATATAAAATAATAAAGATCTCAAATATTTTAGTGAGATTAGTAAATCTTAAAAGCATGCCATTTAAAAAATGGCAAGATAGCAACCACTAAAAAATTCTTATAACCTATAGCAAGCCAAATCTTAACACTGTTTTTATGTTGTTGCTGTTTTTTTGTTTTATTTTTTCCCCCCCGTTTTTCGAGACAGGGTTTCTCTGTGGCTTTTGGAGGCTGTTCTGGAACTTGCTCTTGTAGACCAGGCTGGTCTCGAACTCACAGAGATCCGGCTGCCTCTGCCTCCCGAGTGCTGGGATTAAAGGCATGCACCACCAATGCCCGGCTTAACATTGTTTTTATTATGAAATTATAGGCTCTCCCCACACCTGCCTTGCTTAGCTTCGGGTGAGTGTAGATCCTCCTTGGGCCCCAACGCCCAGGCATCATTCCTGGGCCTGTTCCTCTCAACCAATGGACCAGCCCAGACAGGAAGGATATGAGTCCTCCCACACCCCACTCTTGGCTCCCCAACACCTGCTGTGCTCTACTTCAGGTGAAGATCCTCCTCGGGCCCTAACCCCCACCCATCACCCCCTCCCTCGATCTTCCTTGTCCTGCTAATTTTCAAGTTTTATCAAGTATAATATGACAAATAATCAATATATCGAATTTATACCCAATTCCAGTTAAATGACTGAGATATAAATTATTTGCAGTGCTTTATGAACTATATCTGACCCTGATAAATATAGGGAAAATACTAATAAAATGACAGTTTCTTTATACACTCAATTTTAGCAAATTCTGAACTCAAAATGGAGATAATTTAGTATGTAGATCCCAGAATAATGTAGTATTACATTGAAACGAACTAATTTTTTCATAAAGTATTATTTGGGGATATGACTAATTTTAAATCTTGTTAATAAACAATTATTATTCAAACCCATTGCTCCCAAAGACCTGTCTCTTGATAAACATCTGTAAGATAGTTTAATGAATGTATAAAATAGTAAATAATTCAATAACAGTCATCATTTCTTTATTGGTAAAAGTAGTTTGAGCTATCTTGAAGTTATAAAAGTGTGTGTGTGTGTGTGTGTGTGTGTGTGTGTGTGGTCCATGTAAAACTTAACTACAATATTAAATTATACAAATACTTATATATAATCACAAGTATAAAAGGAATAAAATTTTAAGCCAATATAATTATTGTGTTTAGACTATCATGCAAATGTAAATATTTAACTTCTGGATTTAACTCCTCAAAAAGAAGATAAATATTAGACAATTATCTATATTTTTAAATCATACACGAGTAAAGATCAGATTAGCTTAACATATGTTTTTATAAACATTCTGAACCTGACAATCAGAAGATGCTCTTCTATTAGATGATTATACACAGAAAAATCTTGAGGTTAAAGTAACATCTGATTATATCAAATATCTATAAACAATACAAAATGACGAATCCTATGAAAATGATATGAACTGCCTACCTGACAGGATTGCTGGTTAAGGAAACCCTCAGAGATTCCAGACAGTTGAGAAGTTTCTCATCTGAGATACCTGATCGCAATTCATGAACATATTCTTGTGAAGACAAGGTGCATTCATGCTTGCTGTTTTTCAGGCCACCCTATAAAACAAGCAGAACATACCATCTTAAACAGGCATCAGGGTTTTTTTAATCTTGAAATTAAAACATAGACTATAGTAATAACATTGTGGCATTTTCAAACAAAGTATGTTTCAATAATCTTCTCTCCTAAGCAATATTAAAATCTAATGCTAATTTTATCGACAAGAATAAAAATTATATCAATATTTTATTTTGTGTGAGTGCTATTCCCCCTCCCTCTTTTTTTAAATACCAGGAATGGGTATCAGGGCCTTAAACATGGTATGTAAACACTCTACCTCCATGTTAAATTCCCAGACCAACAATTTTTCAAAGACCTGAGTGGCAAGACTATTGTGTGTGATACAACATTCCCCTCAACCCTTTAAAAGAGAATTATACTAGCTGGTTTTCACAGCCTGAAAAGAACACTATTGTGAATAGCAAAAAGTATTGTTGACAGGGCTACTTAAACTTATATTCCAAGTATTAGGATTCATGATACCTGGTCCTCCTCAATTCAAAATATAAACATTGTTAAATCATCTTATTAATTTTGTAGTTGACAGTTAACATTTATATTCATTAATATTAACTACAGGAAATAAAATTTAATATAAGTCTATTGAAAGATATCAGAGCATCACTATATTTAAAAAATAAGTTATTAAATTATAAAACAATATAACCTCCAATTAACATTTTAATTAATTGATTCAGTCTAAAGCATTTAATTCCCAACTAGCCACCTGTTACTACCACGGTGTAGATAAATCTTTAAAAGTCACTGAATACACTTATTAGATAGCAACTAGTGTTTAATGTAATTTTCAGTGTATAGGAGGTTATTTCTAAAATTCATTATCTCATCACAGCTCCTTTGCTTTGTCACCTTGCTGCAACTATATAAGTAGTTCAGGAAAAAAACTGAAAGGAAAATATCAACATGTTCACCATATTAATAACACATATTCATCTTCCTGGTAAATTAATCTTTTTGTTTATTTTCTGTTTTTAGTTTTTCAAGACAGAGTTTCTCTGTATAGCCCTGTCTGTCCTGAAACTTGCTCTGTAGACCAGGCTGGCCTCGAAATCAGAGACCACCTGCTTCTGTCTCCTAAATGCTGGGATTAAAGGTATGTACCATCACTGTGCTGTGATATAACTAATCTTAACTTTACCATTCCTTTAATATGATAAAATTCATGTGAACTAAAATTCTAACTTTACTCTCATTTTCTAAATTCATACAAATTATACTATCTGCCAAGAATCAAAGCAAGTTCGCCCATATTGTTTGGAACTGCTATCATTAGATGAGATGGAAGTTTCTTATTTCAATAATGTTCCAATAATGAAAAATGTTTTGCCTAGAATTTCATATTATTTGACTTTTCATTGGGAATGCCTTTTTAATGTAAAAATTCACCAATTATTCTAAATTTGAAATTCCATTATTATGTTAAGGGCCTAAAAATATCTTCCAACATATCAGGCAATGTATTATGGCAATATTATCAGTATTAGTGCACTTAAGATATTATGATAAAAGTCAACATTTGTGTCTTTTTATTTTTTCTATTAGGAATTAAATGAGATTCAAAGACCAAGTACTATTTTTTAATTTATCCATAATAACTCCAAAACAACACAGATGCATATTTTGTTGATTTTTCATGCTTTGTTACAAAGTCCAAGAAGGTTACTACAGAATTACCACATATAATGCAGATTTAAGTAAGCAATAACAAAAATAGCATTGAAAGGGTTCATAAATTCCTCTCATTGATCTACCCATCTCAATAACACCAAGTATGCTTAGCACAATTTTTACATTTTTGCTAATCATCTCGCTTTCTATGACACTGCAAAATCCTTCAGTAACAATGGATAGAATGATAAGAAGCATACACTAGTAATAAAAACCAGTAATAAAAAAAACCCTAAAACTTGACAAGTTTAGAGTCAGATACTTCTTTAATGGAATCCTCAAATTCACTTTTTAAATAATAGGTCACACTGATCCATTTGGGAAGCTTTTATGTAGAGATCTTTTATATTCTGACATTTTCTCTGTCTGGAAGATCTAGTCCAAGTCCTCACTGCTGGGACCATCAGAGAAGTCCCAACATAAAGTATTGTTCATTCCATTCTCAAGGTGTCATCTTAATATATAAACTAATTGCTTCACATAGGTATATCATGATCAACTGCCTCCCCCCCCCCAATAATAAAACCTGTACTGGGTAAGAATATTGCTTGAGCTGCTCACCACTGTATCCCATGTCTGAAGTAACTGCATTACAGAATAAGCCATCACTATATAGATACTGGAAGGATGGATTGGTAATAAGCAAATGAATAGTTGACAGGCACATTTGATTATTCTAAGCTTCTAAAACCAGTTAATACTCATTATTATACTGGTGAGTGATAGAAGATTAGCAAGGCACTCTTGAATATGTTTGCAAAGGCGTTTCCAAAGATCAGTCCAGTCATGAAGGATCTGACATCATTCAAATTTTAAATATACTATTATGAAAGGAGAGGCCTAATTTGAGGAAGTGATCACTGGAGGTGTGACTTTGAAAGATATCACCTTTCTTTGTTTCATGTTGCCCATGGTGGAAACATTCATGTTCTGACATGTGTTCCTGGATGCAAAGCTTCTTCCTTCCCTCAGTTGCAGATTATTTTCAAAGTCACATCCACAGTAAACGTTTCTTCAAACTCTGAAATTTTGAGCTAATATAAGACTTCCCTGTATAACTTTTGTCTCATAAATTTGTCAGTGACCAAAAACTAACACAGACTAGCTTGAGAATGTGAAAGCTTGCAAAGGTTTCAGGCAAAAGATGGTCAAAGAAATTGAGTTCACAGGAAGTAAATTAAGACATCATACAGCATTCCAAGGAAACTCAAAATTCACTGCCTAGTTTGAACCTTGCCCTGATTTATCTTGCAGCATCCTTTGGGCAAGAATATATACTAGTCTTTATAAACCATTTTCCTCATGCATGGCATAGGAATAATAAATATTTCTATTTAAGATGATGTATAAAAATAGGTTCCAAAAATGACTTTATATGTATTCTATCATAAATGTAGAAAATTTTCACTCCACTTGCTAACTGAAATTTAATAGGATTGTTTTAATGGACACGTATGCTCATGGCTGACACGCTGTTTATGGACACTTAAACCAGCACATCATAGTGGAAATCACCCTTCTGCACATCTACCAACCCACATTTCTAAAATATGTTATCAGAGGGCTACTCTCTCAGTCCAGATACACAGAGGAGGGCCTAGACCCTGCCCCAAATGATGTGACAGACTTTGATGGCCCTCTATAGGAGGCCTCACCCAGGGTAGGATGGAGGGGGTTGGTGGGGGAATGGGAGTATGGGAGGGAGATAGAACTGGCATTGATATGTAAAATAAGATTGTTTCTAAATTAAATATATTTAAAGTGTAAATAAATAAATAAAATATGCTGCCAATTTTTGTTATCTTTTTCTTGATTTATTGAGAAGAAGGAACACTCTGTAGCATAGTCTTCCATTGAAATCGCTATGTAGCAAAGGCAGGCCCTGAACTTATGACAATCTTTCTGCAGCAGGCTCACAAGCAGCTATGATTGTAGGCATGAAGTCACCATGCTCAACTTTGGGAAGAAGCTTACATTATATCATTTGGATTCGTGATTGTTACAGGGAATGGAAACAAGCTAATGTAGAAGGGAGAAAACAACATTTACAGAATAATATTTTTCACAATTAAAAGTACTTAAGATGTTTAACATAAGCTCACATTTGAACACTGCAAAAACATGATAGCTTGTTAAGGTTAGAATGGTTCTTGAAAATCAAATCTTTTGACATTGTCATTACAGAAATAAAGAAGGCAGCAGAGCACTGTGATGCACCTCTCATCCTAGCCCTTTGGAAGCAGATTCAAGTGGGTCTCTGAGTTCAAGGCCAGTCTGGTTCACATAGTGAGTTCTAAGACAGCCAAGACTACACACTGAAACAACTAGAATCTGGAGAATAGCTAGTGGAACAATTAGTGAGGTTTCCAAACTAAAGTATAAATATTTTGAACGTCCACTTTCCCCAATACTGAATAAAGAATTGAAGCAACAGGTACATAAGTTTTAAATGACTTTAAAAATGTCAAAGTGTGTATCTTCAGCATAATCAATATGACACAGCATGATATTAAAGAAATAACCCTGAAAGAAAACAATATGATAGATTAAACTAAATCTCACTGTACTTAATAGGCTGTAATACAAGAATGGCTTATTATTAACATCCGGTTCTGATATTGAACAAAGGCAACAACTAGATAATGAATGGATAATAATTGAATTTTTAATTACCTGCTCTGTATGAGATTAATGAAAATTACCACTGTGCCATTTGATCTTTAAAAAATAATGCAGACAAACTTAGTAATTAGAGTACAACATGCTATTCCAAAGCTAGGTGAATAAAAAGATTTCCTAATTTGAAGCCATTCCTTAATTTGAAAATCATTAGAATGGAGAAACCTGTTCGTATGACTATGCTTATATTATTCTATGACAGTACACAGAAAACTCAAATGTACTTTTTGTCAAATCCCCCTTTACTCTAAAATGCCATTTTAATATCAAAACTAGACAAGAAATATTTTAAAAAGAACATTCTAAGTCTGTAGTGAAAATGACAAACTTCTAAGTTTAGTGACTTGCACCAATCTTTTTATTTCATTTTTTAATGTAAAAACAAATTGACTTTTAATTTGGGAAAAGGATTCAGAATTCTAGTTGGAAACATACCATGCTGTGAACACTGGATGGAACCATTGATTACAGAGCTCTTCCAGCTACAGTATGCACACAGATAGCAATTACTGTCCATGGGGCCACCTTTAGAGAGGGCAATATTATCTTGAAAAAGGCAACACAGCTACTGATTGTGCTGATTAAATTTTGTCAACTTTATACAATCTGCTGTCACCTGAGAGGAGAG